TCCAAAAGTTCATGGCCATCTACACCCAATATTTTAGGTTAAGGACCTGCCCGCTACTTTTCTGCAAAAGCATGTTGAAATCGAAGTAGGACACTTCGTGTACTTGCCTTGTTGGTGCAGCGAATAAATGGTTGTTCGATTCCAGTTTCTAATAAGTTAGGCCATGAAAATGTACTTTTGCATTAACCATCCAGTTATGAATAATGCAATAAAGTAAACAATTTAACAGACTCGGCTGATTCTGTGTTTCTGATTTTATAATCATTTCAATGTATATATTCCACTATCCGTCATGGTTATGGACCCCGTACCGTAACGGACATATGAGGTTCCACTGTGTAGCAGTAAATACGATCCTTATGAAGCCATATTTACTAAATTATAGTATGTATTAGTCTGAACGTCGCACAGTAGTGTATACTACCAAAAACGTGGCAAAAATTCGATTCCTATGGAAACATCGTTTTAAAAAATTTATAATTTAAAAAAAAACTGACATCCAAAACAACGACGGTATAAAGTATTTAAGACAGACATTTTTTTCCATTTTTTGTCGGTTTTATCTTTAAATTTTTAAGGTTTATCATGTGGATATTATTCAGTGCGATAAGTACTTTATTCTAAATTAGAAAAATATAAAAAAATATAAATTTAGACGCTAATTATCACTTTTTTGTTTATAATTAAGGTCCTTCCAGTCCCACCGAATTTTTTTTCTGTCAAAACTAAACGTAAATATGAACATTATAATCTAAAAAAGGTCTGCGACTTTCTGTGACCTTCCTAGAAATAAGATCACAAAGTTTTTGAGAAAGATGTGATCATCCTACCTGTTCTTTTATCTAAGCAGTACATCCCCAAAATAACTCATAAAACAATATTCGAACGATGTCCTTCAATTATTCAAAGAACCGGTTGATCAATGAAATAATAATAAAATAATTTAATCTATTGAAAAAATAATTTTGTTTATCAGTTCCCTATTAATTAATTTTTTCCACGTTATTTTATATCACAAATCACAAAATATCACAAATGTCTGCTATAGAAACATTTTTGCAATTTTTTCCACGTTTCGGGGATTTTGCACCACTGCGCGTCGGCCATCTTTCCGAACGATCGAAATTTAGAGGGACTCTTATTTACGGTACGCGATAAAGAATTCAACGGTTCAATATTTACCAATTTTGTAATGTTACGATTACACTCGACGAAGCTTACAATACGCAACGGTCTCGGTGCAGATTATGTGAACATTTTTTTGTTTATCGTGCTTTTGCTCGACAGCGAGATATCAAAATCGGTTTTCGACATCGCGGTGCCCCGTTTACAGATGACGAAAACGATATTTATTATTACGGACGGAACAATAATCGCAGCACAATTTAATATATCTCCGCCGATAAAACCGTTGCCCCCTAACTATCTTATCGACGTTTTTTATCTTCGTTAATGCCCCGTTCTCAATCGGCTCGACGTAGAACGAATTCTTTTACGACTTTTGATTTAACGTGTACGGACGTACTGCCAACAAAATTGGTAGTACTATACATCTCTCAACCGATAACGGTCAGCAATACGCAAGCCTGGAACGTCCAGGCAAACGAAACGTCGCGATACGGATTTTATCAATGAGAGAGCTCGAACATTCAATCGGAAGCACATCTCCGATGGGTAGGCACTGGTTTTCGTATCTATGTAACTACATAGTTGTGTTTTTGTAAAGGTGTGTATTCACCGGCGAACAGTTCACGAACAATGTCATAATTTTTATATGACATTTGTATAACTACTTGAAGATATATAGCAAGAACAGGTCCAGAACACGATTCTCAGAAAGAACAATTCGTATGTACTGTTGTTCGCGAAAAACCAGTGGAGACGCGCCTAAAGCCCCTTTTCCTTTTCGCGGCCCGAGAAAAAGGTGATATTTAGGAATTTTTCTTGAAGACTGCAAAGAAGAATTGGTAAAAAAACATCATGGTATTTATTTATTATACATTCAAGTAATTAAAACAAATTTTACTTTCAAGTAAATAAAAAAAGTAGATATTTTTTTTTATTTACTTGAGTGTATAATAAATAAAGATCACGAAGTTTTTTTATCATATCTTTATTGCTATCTTCCAAAAAAAAATCCTCCATGTCACGTTCTTGTTGAGCTAACCTGGTGATCGAACTGTGCTCGCCTCTGTACGCCAAGCCTCCAACGATCGTTATCGCTTCCAATACCCTTATCGCGAAAGAAAACCCGATAAAAATGGCAGGCCAATATGCGATCACCGGGCTCGGGTTATGGTATAGAATGGCCATTGTTTACGTCATTCACTCCGTGTAATTTCATCCGAGTGCGCTTTAAAGGGCAACTATACGTAAACGCGTCACGACGAAAAATCACGCTCGATAATATTTTTCTTTCTGTAAATTCGTTTCGAAGCATTGAAAATTAACGGCAAAGTACACTGATAAAATCAGTAACGATACAGCCTCAATCCTCGGAATACGAACCGTCAAAGCAGACGGCTGGGTCAATCATGACCCATAGGTAACATTTTCACGAAATATTCGTTTCATCTGTTCCGTGACTGTGATTACTGACGGGTCACCGATGGCCCAGCCACAGGAACGCAAGGGGTACAGTAGAAATGGGAAAATTCATTATCTAGAGACGAAGAGTTTCGAATAATGAATGTACGATAAAGAAAAACAGTACTTCGTAATTTTTAATCCATTAAACGTGGAAATTTCAATTTTTTACAATAATATTTTTCCTTGAACGAGTTGATAGTTGGAAAACGATTATTTAAATCCCGTTAACTGTTTAAAGGTCAGCGTACCAATATTTGTTTACAGACGCACGTGTGTATAACCCTTTAAGATCACGGTTCGTGAGTAGATTTTCGACATAAAACCTAACCACTAATCAAACGATAATCGCGATAACGATAAGGCGAGATTAAATCGGTAAAACCAGTGTACACCACATAGGCACGAATAATCTGTATCTAGATTTTATTGTGAAAAGAATTATCGGTTTCGCTTCTGGTACTAACTTCTCGAGTCGTATGGATTATTATTTCGACATTTTGCTTGTTTCAGTAAATCAATTGTATTACAATACATTTTTAAAGGGATTAAGTAGTTATCGTTATAGATATCAGATAATAAAACATAAATCTATTTCAGGATTTTCTGGGGGGTAATAATTAGTTGATATCGTGTATAGCACGATGGAGTTTCATAATAAAGCATTTGAAATTTTAATCGTTACATAACAGGTTATGTCCAACGTAACATTAATCACATCAAAGGTTGTATATGTAACGTAGAATTTAGATCCACAAATGCTACAGTTTGCTGGATACCATCTCGCACGCAACACCGACACACTCACACACACATGATTACGCGGTATACCGCCTCAGTTAAGTAGATTAACAAAACATTGAGCTGAATTAGAGCGTAATCGGGTATTAGATCCGAGTCCGTGTTCTGTTAATTAAACCGGCCGAGAGACATCTTCATTCGATGTAAAAATCAACGAGATACCGTAGGAGTAAGGTTTTACTCGAAACGCATAGTAAGAAACAATATTTTTGATGTATTCTCCGTTGAAGCAATTCGTTACTTTCGAAGAATGAATATTGTTTATTGCTTACGATTTCGAAACGTTGAATAACAAATGTAGTTATTCCTTTGACAACGTATTACTATAGAAATGGGAATAATACTATCTCACTAGGTGACGATACGTAGTTAAAATAAAATACAGGCAAATATATATTATAATTATTTTACCCTTCTATAAATTATTTCACAAATACCAGAGAGTAAAATAAAAATTTCTCTCGTTTTTTGTAAGTAGATTTGTTAAGTAATAAATAGAATGCGGATGTTTATGAAAATGTAGATTCTTGTGCAAAAATTTATATAAATTGCAACTAAAATAAAAACTGTTCACTTTATTAAAAGTTCTATTCGCAAATAAAATAAAAAGTTCAGTGAACTTTATCAAAGATTTTGTTGTACTGAATTATAGACCATTATAAATATTATAAATGCATAAAATTCGCAGTGTAGTAATAAATAACAATATTGTTTAACTCGGTTTAATAGTTCAGTTCCATTATATTTTATAACCTAGTACATTCTATAGATGTATAAACTTCGGCAGTCGAATAATAACCATAGATCACAGGCGATAAGATATAAATGAAGAGAAGAAATAACAAACGAATTTTTTATTTAAATAACCACGTACAATAAAATGTCGTGTCAAATAATTGCTGCACGCCAGAGGTTACAAATGGGTGGGGTCCTTTTCCAATTTTTATGCGCCGTGAGATTTGTCTCGTCGACTTCTCCTCGCATTAAAACAAAAAAAAACGAAGCAGGAAGAAACAAAGACGGATGGTTGAAGTATATATACTGTATTAAATAATCTAACGGGGATAAACAATCGTCGGATTCAATTCACAGTACACGTTAGTAGAACCATCCATATTCAGTGGAAATCCAGAGTTAGGTTCGTTAGCAGCATTTTCTCGAGTGTAAAGTGGACCTCTCGTTGCGAACAGCGGGTATACACACGACGTGAGAGTGCGCGCGCCTTCTAATCGCCCCGTCTCTCTCACGCCAATGGGGGTATCTCGCGATCCTTCTCCCTCCTTATCGGTCTGCTGTGTTCGCCGCCGCGCTCAAGTCCCGGTCGCTGACTACGTGTCCCCCTAGGGCACCGGGCGATGCGCATGCGCAGCCTCGCGATTATGACGTCATGCACCATGACGCCACAACGCCCGATTGGCGGAGCGCGTCGTAGCCGTCGTTGTGTCGTCGTCGTCGTCGTGTCGAATCGTGCACCGTGTAAGTGGGTGGAGGGGCAAGGGGCTGGAACGAGCAGCAGCGAGCCAGAAGACGGGAGGGAGGGCGCGGGCAAGGGAGAGAGGAGAGCGACACCCGTAGCTTCGCTTTACCGCCGCATTCTCGAGCGTTCGTCTCCTCGTACGGCAACCAGACGAGCGAGCCGCACGTTGTCGTCGTGTCCCGCGAACCGCCTCGCGCATACGATTATTACTTTCGGTGTGTCTCGTGTTCAACCTAGAATACAGTTCCCTGCGCCTACCTGTGTGTGTGTGTGTGTGTGTGTACATGCATATTGCATTAACAACGCTTCTTCGTTAGCTGTTTTTTTTTTCAAACACGTCGATTCATACAGCTAGAAGAGGCGCACAAGCCGTGGCAAAAATAATCCTGGCGTCCGAATAATCGTGCTCCTTTTTCTTTCTCTCCGCGCGCGCTCCGCCAGCACGGCGCGCGTAGCCTATCCTCTTCGGGTTCGGCCGGTCGTAATTATATGCGCTTCGCTGCTGAAACCCCGGCGTACGGAATAATCGACGAACTACACCTCGAGCGTCGTTCTCGCCGCGTCGATTCCCATGTAACTGTGCGGCATCGTCGAAGAGTGGAAAAAAAAGGAGACGGTGGTGAAACATTCTTGGTGAGAATACGTTATTCAGCGCAGTGATTATTATTACCCTGACGGGTGTGAAGTTGGTTTACTTGGTGTTTTATACGCCGGAGGCTCGTGTTGCACGGTTTCTCGCGAATATGCTGTAAAAAAAAAAGGAATCGTCATCGTCTTTGTGCGCGTCGTTTCCGAGTGCGTGGGAAGAAGGATCGGGAAACGGGGGATATATAACAGTCGTGTTAAAGTGGATGTGGAGTGATAACTGGTACGGATCGTGACTCGCCCGTACATATATATACATATTCACAGACGGTACAGCAGTCTGGCAAAAATGATGGGGAAGAGAACGCAGTGCTACTTGTGCGATCTGCCCAGGATGCCCTGGGCCATGATCTTGGACTATTCGGAACCGGTGTGCCGCGGTTGCGTGAACTACGAGGGTGCCGACAGAATAGATTTGGTACTGGAGTCTGCTAAACAGATGAAAAAGGCGCACGGTTTTCAAGAGGCTAGATCCTCGACGTCGAAGACGTACAGAACGACCGGTCACGCCGAGCACAACGGCGCCACGAATTTGGACGTTCTACCGATACAGAACACCAGCCAGAGCCATTCGAGGCATCACAATATCGCCGGTTACTCGCAGCTTCACCATCGAAACTCGATCACCGAATTCAATTCCGGCACCTCGAGGCAACAGATCTCGCGGCAACACGAGGAGACTCATGAAATCCAAAATGGCATGAGGAGTAACAACGTGAGAATCCCGAACGCCCACCTAGCCGCCGTTGCGCATCACGTGAACCTCAGCCACAACAGAGGTATCGCACAGTTAAAACGTGGTATCTCGACCATCGACGAGGACGAGCACGCGGAGAAGAGGCTTTCTTTGGAAGAACAGCATCCGGTCAGGCCGCCATTGACCAGGGGCGATTCCTTGCCAGCTGTGAGCCTGGCCGTCAGCTACGTTCAGGACAGAAGCAAGGAGAAGCATCCTGTGAGGGCACCCAGTTTCGAGACCGCCACTACGTTCAAGTCGAACGGTGAGTTTCGCGGATGGAAACAAGATACGCTCGTGTTGTATTTCCGCCCGTGAAATCTGACAGTATCACACAAAGACCCCCCTCATTTTTCTCGGAACTTTATTTCTGTAGACACTGCCGTCCATATGTAATTTTGACACTGGGCGGAGTCCCGACCCAAGGAGTCTTTTATCACTGTTATTGATGCCATGAACAAGCTAATGGTATAATTATTTTGGGTTCGATATAGTTTCAGTGTAACGATATAGTTTATTGTTACGCCTAATATAGATTAATGGTTATTCAAGGAAATACTGTGGAAATTAGAGAAATATCGAGAGACAAAGAAAAAATTATGTGTGTCCAAATATCAATGGATGGTAGTGTGTATGACTGAACTGCTTTCGATTCACTGCGTTCAATGAAAGGCTAAATGATCGTTGGAAGACAATGTATAGATATCCCTAGGCATTTTAACGTTCGGATGTGTATAATTAATTGCAACCTGGACAATATCCGTTGTCCTTATATATATCACACGAAAGTAACGTATCTCGAGCGTTTCTCGAGCAAACGGTCTTTCTCGCGATTTTATCGGTTGGTAGTAAAAATAGGAATGCGTTTCAGTCGTGCGCGCGTGGCCATCTGGCAAGAGAAAAGAGCCGCATGCGTGTGTGTTAAAACACGCGTGTGCCTCCACAGCCTTCCTTCGGGCTTCGAAGAATCATCACGGTTAAAGGAAGTCGTGTCTTCTTTCTGTCTTTCTTCTTCCTACAGCTGGTTGGGGCTTGCCGACAGGCTTTTCCCTCCTCCTTCTGTTTCACAGCCGGTTCCTTCATTCAGGACGAAACAGCCAGTCGTCCAAACGCGTATACAGTAGACGACGTACGTTGAGCACGTGATGAGACGACCAAAAGATATACCCCGAGTTGCCGCGCCGTGACGTCCAATCGAGTGACGTCACACGGTATTTTTAGATACAATGAATGAGACCGTTGTGTTGCTTAATACAAATCTCATCGTTAAGCGAACATTTTGCGAGTATAATTTCACTAAGCGAATCGTAACGAAGAGAGTTGGGGGATCAGGCTAGTTAGAAAATGTACAACCAACAACAATGTATATGTTCCCAAAGTCCAGACCTTTGTACTCCCTGCGTATTATGTTTCATGAACCAAGCAGTGTTTACTACCTATTATGGATCGTGAGCCATATTACTTTCGAAACATGTGTATATATATATAGCATCGAATAGAAAGTAACATTTTTTTTCGACGTAAAATCATTCGTGCTGTTAATTTGTTAGTGTCAGTGTGGAGTACTTTCGTGAAAACCGGTTCTCGTGTCTGTAGCAGCGCGATTGTATTTTGCTGCATCGCGAAGGTAACTGTAGTATGGCCCCCTTTTTCTTGCGCTCTTTTTCATAGTAGGCTCTCTCATTGACGAGGCAGAGTTGACGTTGCTAGAGTTAGTTCGCGCTGCGCGTGTTCGTCGTCGTTCGTGTTGCCCGCCACCTCTACGTACCTACGTACAACCGGGGTGACCTTGGTCATCGACCGTTATTTCGACACTGGCCACTTTCTAATTCGACCTTAACGCGTGTATGTGTGTGTCTGTTTACGGTTATCGAATGGCACGCTCGCCGCTGCAGTGCCCGTGCAGGACAGTCGTCTGTTTCGCCGCGTCTGGAAATTTTTCACTCGTACTTACACGGGGGTGGGGGGGGGCTCAATTATTACCATGTATTCTGTTCAAATATATTAGTTATTTACCCCGTGGTGTTGTTAACGCCGTCTGTGATATTTCTGTCATCGACGAAAAAAGTCATATTGATTTTCTTCATTCACGTTTTTATTACGTAACCGAAATTATAATCGTGTTTTTTAACCTAACCTGAAACGTAACACGCGTCGCACCAGCTGAAAGTAATACAATACATCTAACGTGAAATTCTATAAAAACGAGGGATTTGCACTAATTAGTGAAGAAATTCGCAAAATTTATTGGACTTTAATTTTATTAGACATGAGTAGAAATACTTCTGTGAACTAACGGCAATAACAGTGTGGGTTTTACCTCGCTTCAGGTATTTTTGTGTTACCTGACCTTAAACCGTTCCTCCGAGTCCTCATAGTAACGTCGAAGGGGGTAATTTACAATTTTATTATCAGCCCTCGAAACGGTCTAATGGAAAAATCAAGCGTCGGTAGGATCCTGTTCCAATGACCTAACGGATTTTTAAAAACCGTTCCATTTAAATTGCCTGGAGGGGAGCTATAGAAATTGTACCGGATCAGGTATTTTAGAAACGGAATGCACGGTCCGTTGTCTGTACGATATAGAAATTCATTTGTAGCCGTTCAGGGATAGCTAGCGAACCGTTACCCTTGTTGTAAATACTGTTGAGCCGACCTGACCCAAGATACGTTAGAATTCTCGCAGAAAAATTTTTATTCCGGCCTTTTTATTTTTATTTCTGTGCTTTCATTTTATCTTCGAAGGTATCGTTTCCGCTCGAGAGACAACATACACGTTTACGTATGCGCGTTTTTGATAAAAATAGATTACGGTTGGCAAAGATTAGGGTCTGGAAATAAACACCGGCTAGGACAGAAAGTTTCCGAAAGTGTGTTCTGTCGCCATTTTTTTTCTCTCTCTTTCTCTTGCATAGGCTAACGCTTGGTCCCGATCGAGGCTCGTGCCTGATAAATTCAAATCGGAAAAAACGATAAATTTATCACGTGATCGGTTTCGTAATTGTATTTATTGTACACGTTACGAATTTGAATAAATGTGCGCGCCTCGGGTATCGTGAGCAGACGTAACAAACGCTCGCCTACCTCGTGGCCTTATCTCGTTAAACAGTGTATGTATATCTATATGTAATTCTGTGCGTAGAATTGTCTGACCGCATGTATACGCCATTGTATTTTCCCGTCTCGGTTATACTTCAATTTATTTTTGTCCGTTTCACGTTCTGTCCGTGCACATTATAAACTCCCGTCGCTCAATTTTCCATATACGTATATTAGGTGTACAAATTAATTCGCGACTCCCACAATTAAATATTGATTCATCACCGCCATCATTTTTTCGAGAGGGTATTCGTCAAACTACCCCAGAAATAGCGTAAATGCGCAGAGAATGGTGAAGAATATTTTCAAGACTACACTGGTATTTTGGTTTTTTGAAAGTAAATAAATATATGAAAAGGATGCTACGAATTAATTTGTACACCTAATAGCGAAGGAAGTTAACTTATACAGGATGTCGGCGCGAACAGTGTACACTCCATGTTTCCTAAACTATTAGAAATACAAGGAAATTGTTTACATAAGATTGAATGGCACGAGGGGGCTAATTAACGGCCTAGCACAAATGTCTCTTAGCATTATTATTTTAAGATATTGAAGGTCAAGTTTGGTTTTTTAAATGTAATTGTATATTTCTTTTTAGATCACTTGATAATTTGTTTCAAGACAAATTCAGAAACCTTTAATATATATACCCTTTTTCAAAAAATTTCTGAAATATTGCGCTTACAAATTTACTGATTACGTGGCACTGAGGCGCTAACAAGACCACCTCCGATACTTGCTACTCGAGCAGGTTTTCTTCCGTTGAAAATCAGTAAATTTGTAAGCGCAATATCTCGAGAACTATTTGGAAAGGATGTATACATTAAGGGTTACCGAATTCGTCTTAAAACGCACTACAAAGTGATCTAAAAAAGAATGTATAATTCCATTTAAAAAATCAAACTTGACCTTTATATCTCTTAAAATACTAATGTGAAGAAAAATGTGCCATAGTCCGTTAAAATTAACCCCCTCGTGCCATTCAATTTTATATAATCAATTTTCTCGTATTTCAAATAGTTTAGGAAATAACTGACTGCAGACGGTTCGCGCGGACACCCTGTATACACGTCGAGCACTCCTACCCGCTAATGGAGAGTAAAGTGCATAAAAGGCTTTCATCAATTCCATAGATTAATCTGATACAGGAATATATTGAACCGAGGTCCTCTATCATATATAATATCCTTCCCCTTTATATTTATTTTTTTCTTCATTGTTCAAACCAATGACCTCTCTCTTCTACATTCAATCATGCATGCACAGCCGAAGTAGGTTTTTGGAATGACAAGAATCTCGCGCAATTATGCGACGGAAACCACGTATCGTTTTACGCCCGATTGGTCCGATACACGTACATAATAGTATATAAGTATATACATATGCATGCGCAACACGAAGCAGAGAGAGACCACCGACTTGTGAGAAACGGCGCACTCCGTCAACGGTAGTAACAAGAACGAGCTTTGTCTTATTTCGAAATGATCGCTGCTACGCTTCGCGAGTTCTCAACTGTACTCTCCATCGATCCACCGTGTGCACAGGCACAGAGAGAGAAAGAGAGAGCACGTACACATACACATTGCCTTCGTCCTACGTCACTGAACGATTATCGCGTTCGTCCCGTCGTGCGTGGCTGCTCGTCGCGTATCATATACCGGGTAGTTCTGTAAAACACGTCATAGAACTAAATTCGAATAAATGATCAAAATATCAATTTTTCTCTCGATCACTTCGAGGAGCAAACAATTTCACGGAGCTGCCCATAACGTGTATGTCACCACAGTAATATAGCAACCTAACCCCCCACATTATTCTTACTGTATCGTGTATACTTTTATTGCGTGTTCATCCCTTACAAGCCCGATAATTTTGTTTCCCGAGCCCATAAATTCAACACTACTTTGATTCCACTATTCGCAAAGAAAAAACATGTTCTTTTCTCGTTTCATTAACAGTGCTTTCAAGGTTATCTCCGTTGTGTGTTCCTAAAAACTTTCGGGCCACTGTGTCTAGAGGACGCGTCAGCCGTGCAACGCGTGTGACAGCGGCGTCAACGACGTGCGGGGCTGGGTTGGGTCATACTTTCGAAACAAGGCCACCGTGTATAGTTGACCGGTTAGAACAGGCGATATACAAAGTGCAGAGTGTGACTAAGCCGGGGGCCGCCTACGTGCGTGATGCGATGTTGTGTCTCTCTGTTATAAAACCGCGCATGTGCGTCGTCCTCTTCCATGCCCCGACGACGACCGCTTGCCTCCCTCCTCACCCTACCGCGTGTCAACTAGTTTGCTTCGCTTCCTCTCTGTGGCCGCTGCAGCAACGTGTGCTACGTTTCTTCGCATGATTCAAGACGGATAGAGAGGGACGCCTCGGCCAGCCGGCGGTCCTCGCTCTATCAGAGTCACCGCGTCACGGAAAAGTACCGGTCACACGTCTTCTCGATGACAAACCACACACACAGGCACACACGATCTCTCTAGTCGTGTATGTGAGAGAGAGAAAGAAGACCTTGCGGTGTGACTCGTACGCTTTGGCTCCGTCAGGGGGTTAGGAGTGAGGGGGTGAGGGTGGGGAGGATCTACGTGTGGATGCTGCGTTGCACTGGAATAGCTGGGGATAGGAGGATATCGCGTGTCACGGTCCTACCGTGGAACGTGACGAAATCGTGCCTTTTAATATCGATTCCGTGCTTATCTCGCACTGGGGGAATACGATTCTCCGTATAGGAGGGGAACGGGAGTTTGGAAACGTGTAAACATCGCTTGGAAAAATAATGAGATGATAACGCCGAGAAGTAGTGCGTTGTCAGTAAATTCAGAAGAGACCGCTGGGAAGACTGTGTAGAAGATTTCTGAATCCGGTAGCTTTCCTGGGAATTAGAAAGTGCCTTCGTGATTGATTGCCATGAATGATTGCAATTTATTAGAGTACAACCACTTATAGAAAAACCTGTTTTTTTTCTCTTTCTTTTAACCCTCCGAGTACTTAATCTTTTGTGTACCGTCTAGAAATACCTTGGAAAATATGCATTCTTGAAGATATCTATTAAAATTGACACATTTGTTTTAATAATTATTTTACGGTTTTTTTGTATTTCGTATTATATAAAAAAAGTGGAAAGAATTATTCTTTCGTTACTTTGTTATATCGGCTCAAGGTATTTGTGGCCCCAAGATGTTTCGGCTTGTGGCCACCAAGAGAGTTAAAGAAAGTGAACATGAAATAGGTTATGAAGGCACGCTAAGTGTATATTTTTTACTGTGCGATACTAATGTTAGATAGTTGTCCAGGGTCGTGACGATATTCAACGCGTGGGCAAGAGCAGACACTTTTTTTCGTTCTCGAATATTGATATAAGAGTTTTGTAAATTGGAGAAAACCAGGCGGCCGCGTGGTTGTTTGTTGACCTTTCTTAATGTATAATCGATTCGGTGAAGGAAGAACGCGCGCTTTTAACGGCGGCAACAGACAGCACGTTTTCATGAAATATTAAAGAGGTGGTTTAAATACCTGCATGTTGTATTTAATGATCGATTTTGAATAAAATTAACAATTTAAAGTATGTATCGTAACATTTCATGAATTTACTTTATATATACGTTTTTAAGATTGAATAACGTATCCTTGAAACAAAACAGACTATTTCTTCTGGGAGTGTAATGATATAACTTTTTTGTAGAGGCTTTACGGTTAATTTGAAGGTTACATGGAATATTCTTTGGTGTTCAGTAGGTTAAGAAAGAAATACAATCTATATAATTGTAGTAAAATCATACTATTTTTGCTATCGTATACATATCTATAACATCGGCACTATTTGAAATTATGACAACGTAATAAGAAAATATTATAAAATTATATGGTAATATGTTATCTAAAATAAAATATTATTTAACCCTCGATGACAGACGTGAAAGCCTATGGCCAGGTCACGTGTGACCCATACTAGGCACTATATACACACATATGAAAATATTACATTCCATTACAAACATTTTATGAAGAATAATATAAAATTTGCATTTTCGTGAAAATTGATTTTCGTTAATTCGTCAGACACATCTTCATTCCTGAATCAACATCGAGGCATACTGAACGAAGTGACCCAGCCATTGTTATGCGAGGGTTAATATTATATGTATACATGTATATGTCACCGTATGGCAGCACACGATAATATATCGTTAATAATCATAAAATATCCATGATATTATCCCTCCGTTGTCACACACCTTTATTTTTTCGGAACGAAGTCGCCACATACTGGGTCGATTCGACCCAAGCTAATTTTCAATCTGACTGCTGTTAAAAATCTGTTAAATTAAGTCGAAAAAATTCTAAGATAATGTTTATACATTGCAGAATATATTTTCATTGTACAAATTAACATTCAAAGTATCATTATGTTTAAAAAAAATTGTCGAACAAAGTTTCTTTTACGATACACTGAAATTATTACATGGCGCCAGTAGCACCATATTTTCAATGATGTCACAATAGCACATATTTTCCTTCAAAGTCATATTTCGGGTCATTTCGACCCAGTGTGACAGCCACGGGTTAAATTATGATAGTGCGTGGTGATATTGTACACTGTCGTGCAAACTTGACTTCCGCTGGAATTAGCGTTACTTCAAATACTGAAATAAATGTTAAACCGAATGTTAATTTGGTATAAATTTCAGTAACTCCGAGACCAAGTGGTAGGAGGTCTTTCCCTTACATCACTTTCTCCCCTAGCGGAAGTCGAGTTTGCTCGCAGGGGTACACAATCATCGGTTCGTATGTTCCTAAATATGTATAATATCATCATGTGTATTCTTACATGATATCTTACGATATCAGCATAATACACGACACGGTGGTATCATACGAATTGAATTTATGCAACGGGATCCTCGATATTCACGTGTGTCTGGCATTAATGATTTATCGGTTGTGGTTGCCCCAAGATGGCCGAAGCGCCGTGGAATCGTAAACAATGCCAGAATGCGTAACCTCGTCCCTGTAGTATTCAGGCACCCAGGAGGGGGGGATACTCTACATTCCGCGGTGTGTACAGGCGACGATCGCGTCCATGAAAAGTAAATAAGTCACGAAAAGCAATTCCGTACACAACTCTCGACCCGATATAACACCGAAGGCACGTTCTTCTTCCACGGGCGTGTCTTCTCCTTACGGAATATAAATCCTCTGCCCCCGGGAGTAATATTTGAAATTCGCGCGATTTAACGGACAGCTGATAATTCAGCAGAGCCCGTAGTGTGTGGCGTGTTCGTAAAGTCGGTCGAACTCACCCCCCCCTCCTCCCGCGTCTTTGAGCGCGTTTGCAGAGAACGGCGTTCCCAGGACCGATGCGACGGACAATAAAAAAAACAGTCGTCGTGCGTGCTCCCCGTCGTCAATCCGTGTGTAATCACGATTCGACGGAGGGACCAAAGGATATCTATGTATTTCTGTCTTCCCATCTGAATCATTTGCCTTGTTAAAAAGTCGTGTAGCCAGAAATACTTTTGATGGCTGTGTTTCCGAGAAAAATGGTAAATAGATAAGAAACCAGCTTCGGAAGATCGTACGGGCTGTATTCGACGACGCGACTAGCGATCGCGTTCCGTCACGTCACGATAGATAGCACCGCGGACTTGTACACATGGAACCAATACGCACGGAACCTACAGTGAGCAGAAAAAAGTATCCATACATCCATGATTCTTTCCATAAACTAACAATACTGTTTGTAGTGTAATAACAGGTTAAAAATGATCATCGGGTTATTATACTTCTGTATAAAGCTGACTTGTTTCAGTATACTTGGGAGTACATTATTCTTGACTTAATACTGTAGATGAAAATAGTATCGTTGGTTTGTGATGAGTAGACAGCGGAAGTTTATACAAATCCACAATTTCAGATACTGATATCTAAAAATTAAAATGTAGCAGAATTTTGAATTCTCTACTAGAGGCTTTACTGCGTTAATAGTAACACATAATAGCATTAAACTTTATTAAAACCTTTATTTTATTGCATTTCCCAAGTTAAAAGATGCTATAAATGCATAATCATCCCCAGTTTAGAGATAAGTCACTAGCGCATGGATATTTTTTTCTTCGACTGTATATGCACGGAATCGGTACGGACGGAACCTATATCACCGACGAGGTATAAGAATAGACCTAACATGCAATGTAATTTTCTGTCCCATGCTTCGGGGGCGTCAGAAGCCTCCGTAACATTTCATTATTCCATTCCTTGCTAGCGAAACCGGGGTAATAATGTATGTATGTATCGCTATATGCAGTCACGGGTGTGTGTGTGCTGTGCGTTATCACGGTGTCGAACGTAGTTCCTGAAATCGGCAACTTTTATGTAGAGGTGCGCTCAAACCAGCGTGATTTCCATGGGACACTAAGTCCCATAAGATGTTAGGTCTATGCTTATATCTCGTCTGTGCCTATACGAACGGAACCAATAGCGCGCAAAACGTGTGGTGTATGCGTGTCTAGGTGGTCCATTGAACTAACTCGAATTTCAGGATCATACGTTGGCCCCTCCATCCCGTTGGCGCCGGCGAACGTGGCGGCGAACGGCGGAGGCTCTCCGCTTCGTCCACGAACGAGTCCTCCGCCACCGCCACCACCCGCCCAAGAAGGCTCGAATGATAATCAGCAATCAAATCACCACCAGGTAATTAAGTTCATATGATAATCTTAGGAAAGTGGGGGGGGGGGATTCTGGAAATCCCATTTGCATGTCCAACCGATCCTTAAACGATATTACATATTCGCGGGTTCTCTTGGCGTGCAAGGTTGTTCTATTTATAGATGTTTGTATCCGCGACAATGCAAATCGAACCGTTAATTATTTACTCTTCAGGGTTCGACGAATGGCCCGTCGCCGATGGCCGCGCTAATGTCCGTCGCTGACAATCTTGCGTCACCGGAATCGGTGCCGCAGCCACCGAACAATCCAAGCCCGACCAGCAGAAGCCCTCCGACCACGGCAACGAATGTCCAACAACGAAGCGCATCCAGAGGTTCGCAGCACAGCCCGAACAGTTCAGGTAAAAGACGACAATACAGTTCCGCTCATCGAGTATTAGGACGTGTTTATCGAGTACGCACTATAAATTTGACGAGCCCTTACGAAATTAGTTGTTTAAGGGATATACAAGGATGTCCCAAAAATGTGGGACAATCTGTAACATGCATATTCCTCATGCAAATACAAATCGAAAAGTCCTCTACCATTTTGTAACCTTTAGCTCCATTTCTGAGATATCAACAATTAAACAAACTCCAGTTAGCTGAGCGGTCGGCCACACGTGCGCGCAGGAACAGTCAAGAAGCAGAGGCCAGTCAGCTGGGTCGCGCGCTTCATAACTGTGTGTCTGCGCACACGTGTGGCCGACTGCTCAGCTGATTGGGGTTCGTTCGACTGCTAATATCTCCGAAATGGAGCTTCAGATTACAAAATGGTAAAGGACTTTTCGACTTGTATTTGCACGAGGAATATGTATGTCGTAGTTTGTCCCATCATTTTGGGAGACCCTGTATAATTCTTACGAAACACATCATATTTTCTTTATCTGGACCAGTTGGTCCCCAATACTTATGAGCGGTAGTGTATATTCGTATCCTGTCACGAACACTCTTCCTGTTCTGTTCCTCGCGTAACAGTGGCCTCTTGGAATACGTTTAAATAAGTGTCTTGTTTTTCTTTCTTATTTCTTTTAAATGTAGGATCAGGTAGGAGGTCCAGTGGCTCGAGGCACGTGTCGTCCACGACCGTGACGACATCGACCGAATTAGCGGTCGCTCAGGTCCCCGGAGCGGAACAAGTGTCTGCGCCGATACTGAAATGCACCCTGTGTCAAGAACGGCTCGAGGACACGCACTTCGTGCAATGTCCCAGCGTACCGCATCACAAATTCTGCTTCCCGTGCAGCCGGGAGAGCATAAAGAGACAGGGTGCCGGCTCAGAGGTACGTGTTCTTTACAGTTTCTTCATTTTTTCGATTGGGGTTAACACTTTACTGACCGGTAGCCTATTTAATAGACTCCTAAATTTAAGTACATACAGAGATAAGAAGCTTTTTAATTTACTCTTAGATTAGGGTTAAAGCGCAGTGCCACATAACCACTAAGCAAAATAAGTACGTGTTTAAGGCATCGAGGGAAGGGAGCGCCACAGACATTTTCCATTGCCATATATTTACCATGGACCAATTTCAATATATCTTTTTAAAAATATGTAATAAGAATAAACTTTTGATACACCAGTATCGAGGATACCATTGCTTCTTCAGATTTAGCGATATTAAAAATTTTCTTGCATAAAAATAATCTTTTCTTCTGTTTCTGACAAATACATGCCTGGTAAAAGTTATGACAAAAGTACTAAATTCTTTTAGGTGCTTAGGTCTCTGAAGGTCTTAATCCGGCCCTAGGTTAATGAAGGAATTGTTACGTTTTTCTATTAGAGTTCTTGCTATTTTTCATGAATGTAATTTGCTTACTGTGAAATTGAACCTTTCAATAATAGTTCCCTGGCTTTTGATTGTTGCGGATCTACCGAAAATCTATTGAGTTGCAATCCGGTGGGTAATGCGTTAATACACCACAGACGAATGTCCTTCGGTATTAAACCCGTGTTACGCCACAGTCGGTATTGTTTGACAATTTATGTGCATCTATCTTTTTCTATTGCTCGAAGAATTTTAAAAGCGAACGAATGCATGTACGTGTGATAGTCGGGCGGAAACGAAGTCAGCCACAACTGGTTTAAGTGGTTACCCCTTTGCGGTCCTATGTCTAGTGTGACTAGGGATAATGATTTTGGTCTAAAAGGTCCAATGCCCAGTGGTAAGCTGGACAATGATTTTATTCTATTGTAGTAGGTACAATGTCCAGTGTAACCTGAACAACGATTTTATTCTAGTAGGTCCTAGGTCTAGTGGCGACATGGACAATGATTTTATTCTATTGTGGTAGGTACAGTGTCCAGTGTCAACTGTACAACAATTTTATTTTAGTAGGTCCTAGGTCTAGTGGTGACCTGGATAACGATTTTATTCTAGTAGGTTCTATGTCTAGTATGACTAAGGACAACGATTTTACTCTAGTAAGTTCAATATTCAGTGTGATTAGGGACAATGATTTTGTTCCAGTAGGTCCTATTTCCAGTGTGACCTGGACAACGCTTTTATTTTTACCCTGCGTTGGTGTGTGTACACTATTAAAATACTTACGGACCGCAAAGGGTTAATATACCGATTTAATCAGCGCGTGGAGGGAGAATCCTAAAACCGTTCGTGATTCGGTTCGGGGGTAGTTCATGCAAATCGTCTTTTTCATTTTTCCAGGTTTATTGCCCGAGCGGGGAGAAGTGTCCGCTGGCGAACAGCCAAGTCCCGTGGGCGTTCATGCAGGGCGAGATCGCCACCATTTTGGGCGACGACACCACGGGCTCCGGTCTGAAGGTGAAGAAGGAGAGAGAAACTTAAAGGGATTCTCCGTAAACAAAATGTTCAATCGGGGCTCAAATTTTGCACCCTCGCCAAAGGAGGGTTGGAATCATGGTGGAACCGTGAGGGTTCCACCGAAAACACACAAAATACAATTTTGGTAAATGGTGGTGATCGGCATGTTTCGGCCTGGGTTGGTGTGTGGCCAAACATGCCTCGACTCGAGCCAAAGACGTTGTCGGTGGTAAAAAATTGGATTTTCAACGAGCGTTTGTTGTCTTCTGACGCGCGTCAAATATTGTTCGAGGGGTTGCAGAAACCGGACGATTTCAGTTTCCAGCGTGTCGGACGCGTACCGTACGTGTAATACGTCGTCTTCATCGCTGGGGGTGAGATGATCGTTCGGTTCCCCTGGCGCGAGACAACGAATTGTGGTTTCGATCGGATCCGGTCCGATCGAATTGTTTTTTGACCGGTCTTGAGAAGAAGTCTTTGGCAAATTTTGCACGCTGGCGTCGGTGCTGCACAGACACAAGGTGGCATATATAGAGAGGAGGAAACACATACGCGTTGTACATATATGGGATTATCTGTAGAACGGTTAATTGCCCGCGGCGAAAGATGTGGAATAAAGAAAAAAAAAAGAAGGCGAGCAAGAAAAATACACGTGGGTGGTTTTTGTCGGATTCCGTACGAACAAAAAAAAATGTATAGAGAGGAACGTCGTCGCCGGAGTAGGCGAGACCTTGTGTCCGGTTTGGGTTTGTACTTAGGCTCGATGTGTGGCCTTTATTGTTTGTTGTAGCGCGAAACAGTTTTCGCGTAACTTTTTCTTTTTATTGTACAACGTACCAGCACAGACACACACACACACACACAAACAACACACATTCGTACACACACAAGCCATGAAGGTGCTTCACACGTATACATTCGTACACACACACACACACACACACACTGATAGACACACATATAAACACGTAAAAACATGATGATACCGTCACAGAATTGGACGGTTGTGTATTGTACTTTATTTTTACCACGCTGCATATCGCGTGATTCGCGGATTAACCGAAGTCGAGCCGCACGCGTGTCGCTTCGGTGGTTGAACCGATCCGGCGGCCAGGATACCCCTCCGACGGGTTCGTCCAGTTTCTAATCGTTTATTTGTATACTCTTTCTACTTGTTACACAACTCGTTGTATCATAAGAGGAAAAACAAAAAATAAGAGAAAGGAAACAACGGCGGATCGTAAATATTTCAGGACCCAGCGTACGGGTTTTTTCTTGTACATTGTGTATATGTGTACATACCACATTAATTAATAAAACGTATGACTAAAGGAGTAACCATTTTTAAGTGTACAAAAGAAAAGTTACATTCGTTTTTTTCGCGTGTTATTATCGATTTAAATTATTATCTTTCGTTTCTGTATATGTATATTTTTTTTTCGTTCATTTACCATTCTCTCTCTCTCTCTCTCTCTCTCTCTCTGTTTCGTTTCGACTCTCCGGATTTAATGGGGCCCGATTGTGTACCGCGCCGCCCAAGAGAGCCGTTTCTACGCTTTAAATTTTCCTTCTAGTTTTCGTGAGACGTTCGAACACACGCATAATATCGTCTTTTTCTTTTTGATCGTTTCCCCCCTCTCTCTCTCTCTCTCTCACTCATTCTCTCTCTCTCTCTGTGTCTATCTGGAGAAGATTACGGATCGATTGCGTGGAATATCATAAAACCTTGTAATCGAAAACATCATTGAGGGGGAGGGCTAGCATCGTTCTTGTCCAATATTGTGCTGGAGAAAACGAAAGAAAAACAATACGAAAGAAGAAACTGATCACGATATATCTGGGATTATTTGTGTGTGTGTGTGTGTGTGTGCGTCTGTCTGCGTGTGTAACGTTCACTTTTCGCCTTTAGTTAATCGCTAGACTTTAAGTGAGGGCCTTTTGGTTTTTCATTTTGCCGATGAAAATAAAGTAACGCCCGTCAAATAGGAACCATACACTCGCTAATGTCTAAAAAGAAAAAAACGTTAAAAGGGGGGTGGGGCGATAAGAGAGGAATCGATAATGCAAGAGAGAGTAAAAAAAAAGCAAAGACAACACACGTTTGTCGGTTATCGTGTTCCCGGGGTGGTAGAATCCTCGTCGCGTGTGTGTGGACTCGCGGGGCGTGTCGTGTGCGGTTCTTCTTTTTGTATATACGAATTATATATTTGTACAAAACGGATCGGCACAATGATAATGATGAGCGGCGAGAAGACGGTTCTCGCGACAGATACACGATCACGTCGTCGCACACTGCTCCAAAATCAAAATATAATAGTTCAAATGGTCAAAAACAAAGAACTTCTATTCTAAAAAAAAAAAGTCAAATCAACTTTATTATTAATTATTGAAGATTCGTTCCATACATTAATGTTCTCTTTCGACCCTTTTGTATCACTAATCTGTCAAAAGTATAAAAATTTCAGACTCTTTCACACGATGACGTCATCGAAAAGGGGGTACCTAAAATTGACAAAAATTGTGTTCATTTACCTACTTCGATTTGAGAACAAAATTTTCGATTCCTTAAGCTGAATAACCGTATGAACCGCTACATTTTTATTCTGGACTACTGTGCGCCGCCCCTCAGGAGCTTAAGTTTTGCGGTCCTCCTCCCCCTGCGCGTCATCTTGTCGCGCTGGCGGGGGTGATGAGAGAATAGCTTCTCGGGGGATATCAGTTTGATCGTGAATCACGGCGTTGTGTTTGATTTTTCACGTTGTATCCGCGGCGAAACAACCATGTAGAGAGGCTATCCGCGTAGGCGTAAGCGAAAACTGTTTGTACCGAAATATCGTGTGGAAAAAAATTATCCGAGAGTATGGGAGAGAGAGACTGAGCGCGCGTGTGAATGCGACCGAGATACCTAGAGAGAGGGAGAGGGAGAGAGAGAGAGAGAGAGAGAGAGAGAGAGAGAGAGAGAGCTTGATCGAACGACAGAGAGAGAGAGAGAAAGGAAGAGAGGGAGGGAAAGAAAAACCGAAAGGGTAAGGCCGATGATAAAAAAGGAGCACAATTGATCCGTAGCAATACTTACAGAGGCTGTACGTGATATTTTTTAGTCCGAGGCGCGCAGGTAGTTTCTACCTTCGATGTAAAAGAGTTGATCACGAAAAAAAAACTTTAGGGTCTCAATCCCCCCTGCCACCCATCCCCCTATGCAGAAGAATTTTCGTAGGTAAACAGAGACGATTGAAAGTTAACGAGAAATAAAAAACAAACAATGGCGGTTGAAACTTTCTCACGCAGAGACGAGATCTATCTTTGTGTTTTGTCACCAGTACACTGGGATCCCCTAGGGAACCGTGTGCGGTTTTTTTTTTTGCTGGCTTGTGTGTGAAAGAGGGACATGGTTTTGTTCCTCGTGTTCCCTCTGCCGCACCGGGGTACAGACCACATCGGAGGTTTCCGATTTTAGTCGTCGAATTCGTCGTCTGAGTGCCGATCGTTGCCCAGTTTCCGTTCACGACCATACCCTCCCCTTAATGTCCCATTGTCTTTTACCTCCCCCCGCGTGGATCGATCGTTTTTAAATCGCTTGCTCAATTTCCCGAAACTATTTTTGGACGGATGTTTTGCGGATCAGGGCGATAATTGGTTCCGGACGCGCGGACCTGTTTATATACACCACACACAAACACACACACACACATTGTTGTTCTTAACTACCCACGATTCTCGGTCGGTCAGACGAGCGAAATTTCGGGGGGAGGATCGCCGCGAGTAATAGACGCTGGACCATCCGGTTTGTGTACTGCCTCCCCCCCTCTCCCCTTCCTGTAGGCACGCACGCGGTCATAGCCGATTGCATTCTGTACTACTTTGTCCGGGTCTCGGTTTGTCGACGACCAACAAGCCATTTTTTTTTTGCGATGAACTTTTTTGGAAACACGTTCTTTCGGATATGAAGAAGCAACGCGCTCCGTTAAAGCGCACAAATAATTCATACATACGTTTGTCGTGTGTGTACCGGACGACACGAAATCTCTGTTCTTTGCAAAAAACCGCAGTCGTGTTTTCCACGGACACACGCATCACTTGTATCCGTTCGTTCCGTTTTATTTTATTTTTTTCTTTTCTTTTCTTTTCTTCTCTTTTTACTTTTTTTTTACGGACTTCTCATATAGTCACGCAGGACAACTACACACCGAACGGAGATAATGCGGAAGTACGAAACAATACGTCGAATAGCAATTGTAGTAGTGGGTAATGAAAAAAATTTTCTAGTATACCATACCTCGAGGAACGCGTAACACTGTACTGTTTATCGTATGTATGCAAACAATGCAAAAGCAAAAATATATGTGTTGATGTGTAACGATTGTGCGTTTTTTTCACCCTCCTTCATGTTCCGTCCGTACACGCTACACGGCGATTCTTTGATTTCCTCCTTCGTCCCTGTGCGTGCTCTCGAGAGACGCCATTTTTTTTATTGTTTAAACTTGCCTGTAATTTTGGCCCGCCGCACAGTGGTATATAATGACTTGTTTCTTTTCAGATCAGTCTACAGGTCGTAATTTTTGCGGAAATTTGATACTCTTTTTGTTTTTTTTTAATAAATTTTTCGTAATGAAATTCTCTATCGATCTGTTAAGTCGAAATCTTCAATTTCGTTGCTACTTTGTTTATATTTAACGAAACATACAAATTTTTAAGATGATCAGTATCTGTAGGTTTTTGTAGTGGCTGGTTACGCATTTGAAGTCAGATTTTGGAAATAAAAAATGGCGAATCCAATATGGCGAAGCAAAATTTCAGAAATTGGGCTTATTTGGAAGAAACCTAGTGTGTATAGATTTCCGGGGGCGCTGATTATGAATATGAAGTAATTATTGTGAAAGAACAGGACAACGAAATGCGTAAATTTTCAACAATTGAGATTTTTTAAATAAAATTAAATAACATTTAATCATAACGAAGTGGAAGGTTCAGAAAAGGGCCCTAGAACATGGGCCCCAGGGCTACAGTCCCCCGTAGACACCCCCGCCCTTGATCCGGCGTTGAATTGAATTGTCTGTTGTCACATGTTTTGAATTTTTCGATATTTACGACGATTCGTCTTCCTGACTGTAGTTCGATACTTTTTTACGCAATTTGTAAATTTCAATACAACAGGATCGAGATATTCGACGTGTGACTTTAAATGGTTTTA